ATTACTTAATAAATATATAATGATACATGATTGATAAAGTAATATTTTTCTTGTGCAAAAAAAAACAAAAAATGAATTAATTTTGAAAATTTATCATATCATAAATAAACTTATTAGGGTGTTAGAAATATTTCCATTAATATGTATTATATATATTATATATAATACTATATAATACTATATTAATGAAAAAAATAATAATTTTTAATATTAAATAATAACTTATTTTAATTAATTCTTACAAACTAATCAACTCAATTATATTATTGAATCTCAACTGCTATTTGGTTCTAGGTTAAGTAAAAGTAAGTCATTGGTCAGTATTAAGATGACAGAGCGAATCCATATGCCAGATTCTATGTAGACCAGCTATTATAATCATCAATAAATTCTTATTAAAGTATAGTTTTTTTATTTTTAATAAATTCTTAGTTTTAACTTAGTTTTAACTTTTAACTTTTTAGGACATCCGCTGAACTATTCACAACCTGCATGCCTAAGTATTAACAAGTGCAAATATTTGTTATCAAAATATTTTGCGTACAGCGATGAATATATTTAAATTTAATTATATTTTTAAATATTATATTAAAATCAAATGTTCGCATTTTTCTCACTTAATTCTTAAGCACATAAAAAATGTCGAAATATTGACAAATCTAGAGATAAGCCATATAATTGGATTTTATAATACGGAATGCGAAACTCAGAAGTTTTAATTATAAATATCAAATTTTTATAAGAATATTATATATTTTAAATTTAAGCTAATTCGATTATATTACTTTCACTTAATACATAGTCTAGCCAAAATCCGCTGAAACTATGAATAATTCTTGTGTTTTAAATTCAATATTTTTGGCACCAAAACGATCGTTGTTTTCTAACAGATGCATGCCGAACATATTTCCATTTTGGCTAAGACTGACATCTTGTTATAGTCGTTATGAGTTTAAAGATGATAGCGAGCACCGCTGCTTCAAACCACTTATAATAGACAAAACATGAAGAAAGTTTTTCCAATCTATCATTGTGTGCCTGCAAGACTCTTCAAAGGAAAACCTGGTATTCCCATTTTATAGCAAATTTGGACAAACGAAAATTCTGTATATGCTTTGTGCTATATACTCTGACGATTGATAAGACTGTAGATTATAATATTGCGGAGATAAGTTAATTGCCCCAAACGAACTTAGTTGCAGTCAAAAATATCAGTTGTTGTAACTGGTATATGAAAGGGCATCATCCACCGTAATTGATGATAAATAGAAATCGTTTCAAAACGCTCTTAATATATTGACCGCATGCTAGCCTAAAAATGATATATAAACAACATTTTGAAAAACTCATTATCGGTTTTCAGCGTTATGTAGACTTGGGAAGGAGGCTATTTTAAATAAACAAAAATACAAAATCAAAATAATGAATTGCAATACATCGGCAAAATGAATCGACACCTAAGAGTCTCGTAAAGCAAAATCTGTTGATTACGGTGGTTACAGCACTTTCACAAGCCATTTACAATTGACTAACATGTCTTTAAAATATTAAAATTTACAGTCATTTTAGTCATCCATTAGAATATGTGGCACAAAATACAAATAGAGTTTTCATTTTCCCAAGTTTTCAGTTCGATTTTGATGAGATGGGAATTTCAGCATTCTCTTCGATGAGTCTTGCAGACAAGCAACGAAGAGTCCTTTTTTTTTAATTTCTAATCGTAGTATATGTTTTGAGTGGTTTCAAGCAGTTATGCTATATCATCATGTAAGTCCTTATACCCATATTAAAACTAAAACTTATATGTTTGCTTCATGATGTTATTCTGATCAATGTACATAATTTTTATGGAACCAGTTTCATGGAATCTTAGTCGGATTATATATTACATGAGAGTAATACAAACGATTTATTTCAAATTCAAGGTATATTATGATATCCGGATTAAATATTATGTTTGTAATTAAAACTTCTGAGCTTCACATACTAAAATCTGAAACTCAGTTATAAGATTTATCTCTGGATTTGTCAATAATTTGACATTTTTATGTACCTTCTAATTATGTGATGAAAATGCGAATATTTGAAATTATTTGTTTTGTTTTTGTTCTGCTTAGGATAAGAATTTGGATATATTAGGTTTAATAAGTGATAATATATAGTTTGCGTTCCAAGTATTTATATATTTGTATTAAGTTCTTTCTTCTCGTCACTTATTAATATAAGATATATCTAATTTAAGATATATCTACCTGTAAGTTATAGAATTATTATTATATTATAAATTTCCTGTGCCAGTACTTTTTCACAACAGTGTAATCTTTCATAAATTGAAGTGAGCCATGCTAAGAAGCAAAAGTGATTTAATGCGATTTAATTGCATCGCTAGAGGGTTCAATGCATTCGGATTGATTTATTAAGTTATTTGGTGTGGTCTATGCTCCATATAAACAAGAGATGCTTATATATATAAATATATATAAATATATATATAAATATATATATAAATATATATATAAATATATATATATATATATATATATATATGTACGTATATATACATATATATTAAAAAATATAATATCAACTTGATGTTTATAAATTTAAAATTAAGATTTATTTGTGTATTGCACTAAAAATAATGAATTATAAGAATGATTTAGTTTATATATCTCTTGATAATTCAGAAATATGTTAAGTTAGAAATGGTTATGTTATGTAATATGTTACGAGATGTAAGGAAGGGAGTATTCATTATTTAAGAATCTTTAAAAGTTTTTCAACCGTAACGTTGACTACATCCCTATTACCAATATTATAGCAATTGATATTACTCCAATTTCAATTATATATATTTTAGTAGAACTCTCTGAGAGCATAAATTAAATTAATAAATCATTTGTACTTCGTAAAAAGATGTTTGTCATTATGGCAAATTAAAGTTAATGATGTCGTCATATAACATTCTCTCTTAACAAATCCCTCTTACCAACTATCACTCTCAACAGAATTGTAGTTCCGCAAACAGAAACAGTGAAATAGTGAAAAATATCGAAACAAAAAGGACTCAAATTAAGTTCAAGGGCATAAGCCTTCGTTGGCAAATCTGAATGTATGGGTTACAGCTATATGGCAATGCCTGTTCGTCAAATGTAGAAATCCCACAAAAAGATGAAGCAAATATTCTAAGAATGATCACTGATGCAGCCTGGTATATCAGAAATGAAAACATACATTCCGATTTGGAAGTTTCGGTGTTTAAAGTCGAGTTCGAGAGAATAAGGCAGAAACATGTTTCAAATCTTGAAAATTGTGTGAATCCGCTGATTAGACCTTTTGCTAATATAATAAATTTCTCTGGACTAAAACGGAATGATAAACCTGTCGTCCTGCTTTCCTAAAAATTATTGTGTTTAATTCAAGTAATGGGATTCTATAGACCCGCTCCCTTCTAAGATTAAATGCTCTAAGATTAAATAGTGCTATGTAGGGCAGCCTGTCAAATTTCGCGTATAGTTTCAGGGCTTAAAAGTTGTTGTTAGGCTTTAAATAAAAACAACATATTTTTAAATAAAAAAAAAAAAGTTTGTGTAACTCGAATAGGTAACCTATATTTTTCTCTATGCGGTTTTAGCACTATATCTTAAATTACTGAAGAAGTAGTGTAAATGCTTTTACAAACATATTTTTTGTTCTCTCCATTTTTCCGCAATAGATCTATTGATCTATTAATAAATCTTGTCGAGAAATATCACAGTTTATTATCATCTAGTAGAAATTTGGAAAAGTGATGGGTTTCTTAATTAGAATGGGAACATAATTTATGTTCTGGAACATTCTAAAATTGTCTTTAATCATAAACAGAAAAGTAAGTAATCTATTAAACAACCAATAAAGTTTAATCCATGCATTAAATATTATCACAATTAAATTGTGTTTATTGTTTTCAAAGAAAAGATTATTTTTTTTGTTTATAAGAAAAAATTAAAATTTTTGCTAATTGAATTTTGACGGATATGTGTTTTAAGAACAAATAAACAACAACAAATTTCGCCAAAACTACGTCAATAAATATTTTTTGCAGAATTATTTTAAATATAAAAAAACCTTAATGGAATCTTACGTATTCAAATTTTGCTTGGCCACATATTAAAATTCTTTTTTATTAATGTTCAAATTAATATAAAAATAATCTAAAAATATTAACAGAAAAAAAATTTAGGTCATACTACAATTCTCATTATTAAATGTAATTATGATATATTTATGATTTAAATTTTAATATACAGGGTTAGACGATTGAAGTGTTACCTGATCAAGCGATCATATCTTCTTTGTGTGAAATTACAAAAATTTTATCTAGACTATACTTGATGAATGTAATCTTCCGATATTTGGCTCATTCCTGAAGAATGACTTCTTTCAGCGCATCAATACTGGCATATATTTTAGTGCTCACTTTGCTCTCCAAAATGGCCTAGATGGAATAGTCCATCTGATTTGCATCTGTTGAATTCGAAAGTCATTGTGAGACCGAGACTAGTGACGAGTCTTGTTGGAACGTCCATGGTCTATGACCGAAATGTTTAAGTGCTCACGTCTCTAAAGGCACATTGATTTTGATACCAGGGTCGATGAAAACGATGGGAGAGCATCCAACGTCATACATCGGGGTTTCAAGAGTAATTACAGTTCTTTGTGTTCAATATAGTCGTTCAATACAGTTTAAGAAATTAATTACACAGCTGGGTATTATACAATGACAATGCCAGTGCGCGTGAGCACTTTTGCTCTTTCTTAACTCGAGGTATTTTCAAAACCCCTCTTTACGCCTTGACTGGATTATTGTTTATCACTTCATCAGACTAAGCAATAATTGAACCTCACTTTTTTATTAAATTATTATTTAAAAAATTTGTAATCATAGCAATCAAAAAATAATGATAAAAATTTACACAATGATTAGAAAATATAAATTTTGTTGCACATTTGAAATTTTTCTAAATTGTTTCGGTTTTTTTATTCAATTAAAAACCGACTAAAATATTGGCTTTACCAGAGATCAAGTTTCTTCAAGTTCTTTGCAAAGACGTTCAAATATGTATATTTCTTTATATGAGACTGAAATGCCAGAAAGTTTTGGTACCATTTTATGTTTAATTTTGGTTGTATTATTGATTTCGATCACAGTTTTAAGCATATATCAGTGTTTTAAGTATACTAAAAATAACGTAAGTACCCCAACGCAAACATTGGAATTCGTTCCTAAAGTATAAAATAATGTTTTATTCTGCAGAGGAGGGCGCGTTATTACGATCGTTTGGACTGTCGTTATAGTCAACCAGGAAAGATTTTTGAGAATATACATTCTACTAGTCACCGATCATAAAATTACTAATAACAGTTTAATAAAACACCAAAAACTTTATATCATAATGAACTTGCGGACACTAACCAACTAACGGACATGGACGGTATTAACATGATTCTTTCATACTACGGTAAGTTAGTATGATATTCATTACTTCTTGGTTTATTAAGATAAATATGATAATCTAGGGTATTATCAAGTTTTTGAAAAAATTTTTTTTGATTAATTTGACAATAGTAAAATTTGGCATAATATTGTATATTATATTTTTTATTTATATATACGCAATTATTCTTTTATATTTCGAAAAACCATGCTGGTTTTCCCTAAAGAATTTTTCTGAAGCTGTAGAGATTTGATCAATTGTAAAAATTTTGTTAGGTATAGGCAGTAGGCTAATCCCTCTAAAGTTATTAAAGTTGTTGTAGCTTAAAGCAATATTTCATCGTTGTTGTACCAATTGCTGTGTATCTATTTTTGATAGAATAACTTCAGTCATTTTTTAAAGATATTTTCAAACATTTTTTATTTTTTTTAGTAATTCGATTTTTAAACAAAAACAAAATGTATTGTTCATACGATGCGAAAATGTTGTAATTAAATAAATAAATTAATTGGGCCAAGCATGGGTAGATAATATTGAAGGATCTGTTTGCATGAAGCTATTTGTGGGTTTGAGTCCCTTATACTGCATTCACACGAGAGTTTTGTTTGTAATTTTAGCTGTCAATTCTAGTTGCTTTCAAAGCAAAATGAATATGTTTGACAGCTAAAATTACAAATAAAACTCTAGTGTAAATTCAATAGTTATTTGTTTGTTTTAATTAGAGTTTACGATGTTGGAATTAAAATAAAGTTATAATAATAATTTTTGTTGTAGAAATTCTGAAGGTTTTGTAAATAATAAATAAATAAATAATGTCATAAATAATTTTGAGGAAATGTTGTAATTTGTAGCTTTTAAAATAAAGTTCAGAACTAAGTTATGTTGTATTAAATCGAAATAAATAAAATAATAAAAGTGTTAAAATTCTGAGATTGTAATTATATGATGTCACAATATTTTTGAACAATTTAATATAACAAAGGGGATTTAAAAATAAAACAAAAAAAGAAAATGAAACTGTAGGAAGTGTCTATAATCAGGAACTATTATCATTACTCTCAATGGACTTATTGAATATATTTGTGTTATATATTAGTTCATATTGTCTAACTATACATTTTACAATATTCATAGGTATTTTAACTTTTTCTTTACATATTAATAATATTATTTGACATTATTTTTTATTTTTATGTAATGGTTTCACATTTCTCACTATATTTACTAATTTAGGATTTTTTCCTTTTCCATAGGTTTGCTTCCGTGTTTCCTACTTAATTTCCAAAACATGCCAAATGTTTTGCTTTGGTAATGAAATAAAAGCTTTATTATTTTGATTTACTTTAAGCTTTATTATTTTGAGCTTATAGAGCTTTTTTTTTTTTATTAAACAAAAAAAACTATGAAAGCCCTACGTACCCCTAGGTGGGCATAAAAATCACGTTGGGTTTCATACGTCGCACGAATGTTTGAAGTTTGCGCATAAACGTGTTTAAGGAGGTAGCATGAGGCACTCGTATGTGTTTCAGAATTCGCATGCCAACATCCACTCTCTCTCCCGCCTTAAACAGCAACAACTGTGAAATGTTGACAGCTGTTGCTTTATAAACACATAATGTAAACAGTTGTTGCTATTTAGTGTTTATACCATAGAAAGGTCTGTCCTTTACTTAATAGGTGATCTTTTATCAATAATATAAAACAATTGTTTTTAATTTTATTAAAATATTAAAACATATTCAAAGCTTTATTGAAGGGTTTCAAAAAATAATTCTACTTATACGTTCGAGTTTAAAAAGCACTATCACTTTTCTTCTATATATTTTCTTCTTTTTTTCAAAGCCAATCTTCCTCTTATCATTTCTTAGTTACCACAGTACATAATACCTACAAAAAATATTTCCACAAACTGGTTATCTTTGAGTCGTACTGATTGCTGATACTGGTGTGAAAATGAAGAGATGATGATGCAGGTTATTGTTTAGTGATGCGCTGTATCCAGAAGATAACAGTTAGAGACTTTTTGCTTAGCAATAGAAACAGATTAAATATTTATCTTAAAAGTCTTTAATTTTTTAATTGAATCAGCACTCGAAAAATGTTACAAAGATGTATAGTTGGAATAAATAAAGACATACGAAGAATAGACGTCATTAACTACAACGAAAACAATATTCAAAAGTCTGACTGTTGGTAGGCAGGCTTAACACTACAGCAGTTTTTAATGGATCAATCAACCAATGGGTGCGTTTACGCATTTATTATTTATTTATTATTTATAAATAAAATTAATTGTATAAAAAATTTAGAATTTTTTATTCAATTTTATCAAATGAAAATTTATAAATATAGCCACAAAGAACAGACAGTTTCTCATAGCTTAACATTTCACTCTTAATAATTAAATATTTTTATTTGAATTCTGTTTTTGACAGGATTAATTAATATCTTCAGCGAACATTGTTGAGTTTTTTTTAATACATTGGATTATGCAAACAGCATTTAGCGTTTTTGATGAATTTTTATTTTTCTTTTAACCACCTTTGACATATGCCCACCTTCTCCCATTTATTATATCTTTGTTGTACAGTTCCACGGTTCTATCTTTGAAAAATCGCTGCAGGTGCTTTTCACAGTCAGACGAATATTGAGCGAGCAAGGCAGTGTTGCGGAGATCGGAAAAAGTATGCTTTAACGGTGCAATTTTATAATGGATTTATAAAACATTTATCACCGCATTTTGTTAATTTATTTGGATTCAGGGAAGATATGTGAGGCATAACACTCAATAGTTGACATAGCACACATTAGTTTTGGTTGACAGTAGTTTCGTTTTTTTTTTCTACTATTCAATACAGATTACGTATGCACAGTAGGTATTTAAACCACTCGATGATGTCCACATAATCCTACCCAATACAGCACTACCTCATTTGTCATTCATTGCGACCGTCACCTTTTTTTAACCAAAAATATTTTTTATACATATATCTTCTCATGAATTGTATGATAAAAAAATTCTCATCAATTGTATGATGGGAAGATTTTTATCAATTGTATAATGAGAAAATTCTTATTAATTGTATAATGAGAAGATTCTCATCAATTATATGATGAGAATTATCTGAGCATGATTTATAAATGCAAATCTCATCTTACTTCATTTCATTAAGGAAGAATCCAAACATTGAGCTTCAGCTATGTAACAATTTAAATGCAAACAGCTTGAATTGTATTTAATAGTCCATTTTTCACCGATGTCATGATTGGTAAGACGCGTATATTAATTTTCTTAAATATAGGTTCATAGACTTTTTGAAAGTTAGCTTGATTGGACATAAAGCACTTTGTTTATCCTTTTTGTTCTTTGCTTGCCGCTTGCATTGAAGGAAAGATCCAATCTTCTAGCTTTAGTTTTTAAGCCAGATTGTGGGATGCTTATAAACTTGAGGATATAAACTTTGTGCACAGATATGATAATGGAATTATAGTGGGTTGTAAGAATTTTGTATAAGAAATTAACAAAGAAAAAAGAACCATATCTTCTTTCCATTACATATGCCAACGATGTGCTTTTCAAAGTACTGAACAAATAAAATAAAAGGGTTCTTATTTTTATATATTACCATTGCTATATTCTAACATTCTATATTCTGTATTTTATATTCCATAGAAACGTTCATAAACTTGTTTTTTACTTTTTGTAAGGGACAAATTTACATCAATTTTCTTTAAGTATTCTTTTGTTTTAAAAAAATTTTTTATTGGATATGATTAGTCCAAGCTTAACTGTATTAAGGATCTGTATGTGCTATTAATCTCTCCTAGACTATATAAATCAAAAATTTACACACATACAATAGTAGCAAATTATATAAAATGTATTATAATCAATAAATTGTATACGTTATAATAATATATAAAATATTATATAAATTAAAACATATTAATTAATATCGATATGTGTTTCTAAGAAGTTGATATTTGCTTAATAAATGATTTTTTTTTAAAAGAAAACATTCATATAAATACATAGCAAAATTAAAGAAATTCATAAAAAAAAACATTTGTATAAATAAAATACAAAATTAAGCAAATTAATAATAAAAAAAAACATTTGTTTAATTATTTAACTATCAGTATTAATAATCAAAAAAATGTATTCCTCCATACAATGTACTAAATAAATAAGATAAAAAGATATTATTTGATTGGAAATTGAAGGGTGCAATTCACTGATAAACAAATTAATCTATATAAATATTAAACACTTATACTAATAAATTTCTTTGGGTACTATATGTGATTTGTAGTTATATTTAAGACATTATTTTCAATTATAATGAAACTACTCTTCTAAAGGTCCGATTCTCATTTCGCTGGCTTACCACTACTCATAAATTTCAATGCCAACTAATAAATACAATTCTTGCATCAATTACAGAAAATATTAGCACGATTAGCAGGAAAATAGTATGTTGAGGCTTTTATATAAAAATTTTCAAAATTAAAATCAGATTTTTTTATTATTAAAACTATTCTTGTCAAATCGCCCAACAGTCGGTACTAAGGCCCGAAGAGTTCTTGTGTACCAAATTCACTTTTTTAAGCTTTTTGAACAAAGTTCATAGCTAAATCTATAAATTTAGAGAATAGCTCTTAATCTGTTCTAGTGACAGAAATTCCAAATGAAAGAAGTTCCTTCTGTGCGTTGTTAAAGCTGGACAGTTACAAAAAATATGTATATTTTTTTCCTCATCTTCGAGGTATAATCTGCATTCCGAAATAACAGATAATAGAAGTTTATGTAAGTGATATTTTCGATCATAATGACCCATAGTGAAACCAGTTAGCAATCTTAAATTTCCTATTGAGAATTTAAGAATGATTTGTCTAAGTCCTCGGAAATCTTCCCAGTACACTAGCCCCAGAAGATTTTCACTCTCCCTGATTATTTGTCCTTGATATAACAGTTTAGACGATAAAATGATAAAAGCTTGCTTTAAAAATAGTGATTCTGGTATATTTCGCATGAAATTTTGTTCAGTGAAGCGGTTTATTTTGTACTTGGTGTGTGTATTACTGACAAAATCATCGCACCTGGGGTAGTTAAGTAATAAAAATTCACAAGTAACTACCGAAAAATCAATGCATTCATAAGAAGAACATAGATATGAAAGATATGTGGTTTTAAGACAAGTAACGCAGCATCTAAAATCCATGAGAAACGTTCTATTTTGGCTTTATAGCATTATTATTGGGAATTATTCTCCAACATCATAAAATTTGTCACCATTTGACGCATTGTTATTTTTGTTTTTGTGATATAATGCAAAGAGTCGTATATATATGAATTATTATGAAACTCTCGATACTTATAGATACTAAATACTTCTTATGTTTCATACCCTGATAAGTGGAATACGATTTAAGCCGGAAGATTTTCGCAGTCTGATAATTGATTTCGTCTCAACAAGTTTCTAAGTTCAAGTTTCAGTGGCTTCAAACCTCTCTCTGTAGCATTCGATGCTTCCCACCTACCAAAAAAAAAAATCCCTTGACATTTAGAAAATTAATATAAATATTTACCAAGTTATGGTCGAGTTATTGCCAGCTGTGTGTGTGCTTATATATATAGATATATACACAAGTCATCGAATTTTATCTCAAAACTAAACAGTAATGTAAGTTGTCCCATAAAGAACATTTGAGTAATATAGTATTTTACACCTACTGGTATCTAAAAAAAACATGAAGAAATATAAATCAGAGATGTGTTTTATTAACATTTACCTTGGAATATCTTTTTGGATATGATTACATTCATTAAAACTATTGCCATTGCTTTATTAAAGAAAAAGTACTTAGTTCATGTACAACCAATAAAAACCAAAACCAAAACAAAAAGTTATAGAGAAAATAATTTATTCAATTTTTTTCACTTATAATCTTATCTGTGTAGGATCTTATCTTTTTTCACTTATATTTATTATCGAAATCGTACTGTGTACTATAAGTACAATAGTCCATTGCAAGTACGTAAAAGTGACTGATTTATTCAAATAGCAACTCTAATTGATAACTGAAGTCATTAATTATTTCGACATGAATTAATTAATAAGACATTTAATTATTAAATTAATGCCGAAAAGTATGTGATATAAAAATTATAGTAATGTTGATTAGCCTTTCACTATGGGTTTTTAGGAAGAATTAGATTTTTAAGTTTTTATTTAATGGCATAGTTTATGTTTATTAGAATATTACCAAAAAGTGGTCCAAGGTTAAAAAAAACTATTCTTCACTTAAGATTTTAATTTACTTGAAATAAAACTCCTTTAAGGTCTGAGATATATTAGTCATTAAGTTAAAACGTATTTAATGGAATGTACACTAGTATATGAATCAAGCTATTTAGCCAAAAAATAATATATAACTCATGCTGTTTCAGATTATAAATTGTTCAACTGATCGCATTGTGCAGATGGTACGCCCATATATATTAAAAGTGGATCCGCTTCGTTATGTCCATCCTATATATTTTTTTTTCAACCAAAAACCCTAGGCTTTCTCTACCCTAGGGCTTTGCCAAATGTTTTAACGAACTGTAATGAACTGGAGATTCTCCAAAAACAATTGGAGGTATGGAATAGGAGGAACGCCCCGACTAGAGACGACACAAATTTTTAAAATTTCATTGTGCACTTGTATGTGAGAAAATAACATCTTA